GTGCCCAGGTACCCAGCACCAGCTGCCCTCCCAGCCCTGACCTTGAAGTTGGACTCGCCGTCCAGGCTCGCTGTGGTGACGTAGCAGGTGCCATCAGTGCTGCTGGAGGCCAGAAATATCAAGTCACAGGGGAAGGTCTCATCTGCTTTCACTTCTACAATGTCTCCAACCTAGGAGAAAGGGAGCACTCACATGAACAGCCCTCTCAGGCGTTTTTAGGTGAGTGTGATTCAGCTTCTCTCAAAGGCAAGCTGGGGTCCAGGGGGTGCACAGATCCCTGACCATCACTCCAGAGCCCGATGGGTCACCCAGCCCTGCACTGACTCAGAGCACCCACGGGGCACAGCCAGTGTTTATTCCTCTGCTAAACCCTGATGGAGCAAGAGACCGTACTTGCCTGGAGCGCGGTGTGATAAATTAACATCAAAGCTAAGTGTACTTTCCTGGTGTCCTTGCGAGAGTAGGAAATAGAAGAGGACTGCCTGTCCTGGAGAAGTGCAAAATGCTGGCAGATGTGTCACCTGTCAGCCCCGGTACAGCTTTTGTGAGACAGCTTTTCAAAAGACATCAAAGGCAGCCTCACTCCTTCACTGGGAGCAGCTCTGGAGCACCTCAGCTCAAAGTGAGCAAGCTGGGGCAGCTCTGACCCAGGACAGCCCTCCTCCCCTGCCCTGTCCCCTCAGCACAGCTCTGTGCTGCCATCAGCCGCAGTGAGAGCCACACACAGGCTCTCAGGTAACAGTTACCTTGATTTTTTCACTCTCTTTCCGCACTTGCTTTGCATTTTCCACGACAAAGACGTTGCTTTTGTTCACCTCGTTGTCAGCTCTGTGCCTCAGCCAGTCCTCGTACCCCTACAGCACAGACACAGGCAGCACAAACCCCTTACAAAGTGAGTAAACTAATGAAAAGGAGGAGTGAGGATCACAGGGACACGTGGAAACAATGAATAAGGCAACTGTCCTCAGACCTCCTTCATGCCTGACAAAACACCAACCAGAGCAGCTCAGACTGAATCAATTCATTTAGAAAACCTCCATATGCATATTTGACAGATTCAGAACAGATTAAAATAACACAAAAATAATCTATATGCGGGGCATGCAACAAGCAGCTGAACTACTGTAACACATTTCTATTATTCTCAGCTGTGGTAAGAACAGACTGACAATATGAATAATACACTCAGCAGCCTGCAACTCCTTCCTATGGTAACGCAGGATGAGGCTCTTCCTCTTCAGCCTTCACTGAGCATTGAGATCTGAGGCAGAGAGATTTTATTCCAGCTCTCCCTTTGCAGCCCCGTAGATGAAACTTCTTTCTTTATTATTCACTCAGGAAATGTTAAATGGCATGTGTGCCTGTGATGGGAGGCAAAGGGAGATGAGGAGCACACGTCTGCAGGAGCGGTGAGTGGCTGAGCAGAACCTGTCCTTCCCAGCTCCCCACACGGAGCAGAGCGTGGGTGGATTTGGAGCACGTCTCTGCAAGGACTCAGGGAGCGTTTCCAAGAAGAGGAAAAACATTCCTGCAACACCAGACCTACAGCAGAAAGCTTACTGACCCTCCTGGCCTGCTCTCAGCAGCACAGGGATGATTCCACTGCCACAACAGGAGACACCAACCCCACACCCAAAGTGCGGCCTCTTCTGGAAAGCACCAGAGCCCAAATCACCCTCTAAAGGGGGCACCAAACCCCCAGCACACGTTGCTGGCCTCTGAGCATATTTAAATACACGTTTCTGTACCTATGTCAAAGAGCATCTCCCCCACAGTGACAGCTGTACCTGTTTGATAGCTGTGACAGTGATGACAAAGAAGAGCGGGAGGCCACTGGTCACCGGGCTGGTTGGGGTGTCCACTATCACCTGCAGGACAAAAATGGACTGCTGAGCCCTGGGTTTCAGGCTGCAGATCAAACCAAACCTGTGGTTATGGGGGAAAAGGGTGCTGATCCCACTGAGGGCAGGTCAGAGCCCAGCACAGGAGAAAGGCAAGGAAGAGCAGCACCAGTCATCTTGAACCACTGACACTGGGAGGCTAAAAATAACACCCATCAGCCCAAATTACCTATGAAATACACTGCAGAACAGAACATGAATATTTAAGCAAAGCAGAAATGCAGGCTTTGTGTTGAAGCTCTCGGAGTGGAGCTCAGAGCATGCTGCAGGCACCACGGCTGCAGAGGGGCCTGGGGCACAGCTGGATCCTGCTGAGCTCACTGCAGGCAGCCCCAAGCACAGCCCAAACCTCTGAGCAGCAGTGAGACCCCCAGGCTGTGGGACCTGCTGCTCCCTCTGACGTGGCCCACAGGGTGAAATGGCAGGGCAGGGAGCCCTTCCCACCTTCCCAACACACCACACATTTCCCTGCTGCTCACTTCCCACCTTCCAGAGCAACCCACCACAGCCTGCTCATCTCCCTGCTGCTCCTGGGGACACTGGGAGCACCAGGGGCTCTGATGAAAGGGACAGGGGAGCTCAGCAGAAAGGCTTTGTGTGCCCACAAAGGGGCTTTGTCTCTTGTTTGTGCTTCCCCAGCACGCTCACACAACAGCAGCATTTGGGTATTTATTGTTTCAGGCTGCTGTAAAAAGCTCTGCTAAGGACAGGACTCCTCTTATCAGCTTCGTAGACATTTTTGACTATGAAATGCTGTGCACTGCAATATCACCCTGCCCTACTGAACCCAGAGAGAAAAGCCAGAAGATTCTGAAGTGGAAGAGAGACACCACAAGAAGCAACCAGATAAATGGCAGAGGAGTTAAGCAGCAGGAGAGCAAACCAAGATAAACACCAAAAGTATTTCCAGGTACACAAAGCCCTGGCTCACTCCAATGGGTGTAAAGCACTCCCAGGCAGAAAGTCTGGTGGAAACCCAATGTGGAGGAACAGCTCTGAGTGAGGACAGTGCCAAGTGTCACACAGACACTGCACACAGCAGTGATGGCCACTCAGCAGGGCAGTACCATGGAGCTTAGGCCAGTCAGCCAAAAGTTACCTGCAAAAACTGGACAGGTCTTGGGAATCCAAGAAGAACTTTGGCTTGCTGAGAAGGGGAAAGGAGAGGACCTCCTGCTGCCCAGCAGGAGAGTTTCCTGCTCTGGACACGTTACAGTTGTATGTATTTATATTAAAAAGCACAATTTCTGTCCACACAGATACAGGAACACAATATCAGATTAAGTGTCTGGAATAACTCATATGTATTTAGAGTTTGGACTCCCTGCAAAAGCCCCATGGCTGGACACTACTCTTCCCCTTTGTTGCTGGTGAAAAGCTGAGGGACACACAAGCAACAAGCCAGGAGAAAGGCAGACTCCCCTGAAATTATTTTTGGACTGGTTCAGGACTTCAACAGCTTAATTTGAATCCACTTAAAAGACAAAGTCCTCTTGTTACTTAACAGTTTCTTCTTAGGAGATTCCTTAGGACGCTAAGGACCACACTCCAAAAGTTATCTCCACTCTCCTCCTCAAAGGGACTCTCTGCAGATTCCTAAAACAGCTTATTGCCACCAGCCTGGTCTGCCTACACACACATTGGGTGTGCTCATCCAGACCAGCCCCTTCCACCAGGAGATTCCCTGCAGGCTCCTGTCAGAGCTGGAACACATGAACCAAAGGGATTTGCACTCTTTGTGTGCAGTGTTTCATGCTGAACGCACCCACTCTGCCTCACAAAGAGCTGGATCTGCAGCCACAGAGAAACAGAAGATTTGATTCAATGTTTCACACAGGTAGGGCAGGTGCCCCAGGTAATTCCCCCAGCACTGAGACACCTCACTCCCCATGCAGCACCTGGGGGGACAACCCCAGTAACTTACATTTAAATAGAAGCACGGGCATTCAAGACACAGGTGGCATTTTCCAATGTATAACCCTTGGTACTGCAGATGCACAGAGTGGCCCTGAGTGCCTTTTTGAGGCAGGGGATGTCTCAGCATGACAAGCACTGGGGCAGGGGCTGCGCTGTGCAGCAGCCAGGATCAGGGCTGGGCTCTGCTCAGCTGGCTTTGTGTGCTCTCCAACCCACCACAAGGCTGCTCCCTGATTTCAGAGCTGCCCACAGAATGAAGGCCAGGAGGAGCAGCAGGCTCTTCTCTCACCTGTGCCTGAAACGGGCAAGCAGCGAGACAAACCCAGTTTGTGGCCATCATCAGGAATATTCCCTGCTCTCCACAGCCAGAGGGTCAATAGATAAAATGTAATAGCACGTCACTAAGTGGCCAGCTACACAAAAAGGACATCCTGACTCCAGGGTATCGCTTCAGTTCAAGGCAAATTACAAATTGGGTCTGACAAAGTGGAGCAATGCCAGCGCAATGAGGAGATGGAGGCAAGCCAGCTGACGCCAGAGCAAATTGGCCTTTGGTGTCACACTGCCAGCAGAGCCACACACAGCAGGGCTGGGAACCCTGCTCCTGCACAGCCAGGACTGGGAACCAGAGCCCTCCCTGCACAGCACAGCATTCAGGCACCCAGCACTGTGTCTGCAATAAATTGGCTGCTTTGCCCGTGCAGAGCAACTTCCTCAAGCTTCAGTTTCCAAAACTCATCCTATGCATTTTCTGAGTTTTACTGAGTACATCCCATCTCTCCTGCTTGCCTTGAAACTCATGATATCTGAGACACGAAAATATCATACCACTTGGGGAAATATAGAGATAAGAAACAGAAGCAGTAATGGTGACAAAAAACAGATCTTAATTGCGTAGCATCAAGTGTATTTTCAGTGGCTGAATGACCTTCACAGTTAGAATTAAGATGGTTTTTCAGTGTTTCAGCAGTCATTCAAATCCCATCTCAGACAGGCACAGATACTTTTATTATTTTTATGCCTTGGATGGTGTGGCAGAATTATAACAGCCTCCAAGTCCAAAATTTCCAAACTTCTTGTAAGCACAAACAGCTCTAAAGCTCAGTTCTTGTTCAAGCCGTGTTTAATGTCAGTTAAGCCCAAACCGAACTCACGCTCAGCCTCAAAGCTCTTACCTGCACGAGGAAGATGATGAGGAAGTAGAAGTTGGCAATTCTTCGAAACTGCTCGAAAAGGTTCTTGGGGAGGAAGTTCCAGAGGGTGTACTGTGGGGAGAGAGGGCACTGAGACAGAGCCAGGCTGGCAGCAGAGCCACAGGGAGAGCAGCTCTGCTCTGGCATGGCAGGGTGAGCACAGCCCCAGAGCCAAGCCCAGGAGCACAGAGCAGCTGGGGCTGAGATTACATGAAATTCACATTTCCCACACTGCAGCTGGGGCCGAGATCCCACCAAATTCCTGCTCCAAATTCCAGCTCCAGCTCTTTCTGCTGGAGCACTGAGCAGTCAGAGGTGGCTCACAGTGAGACAACATCTAAAAGGCATTTGTACACAGGTGATTTCATTACAAAGTGCACACACTTTTTCCAAATTCCCAAAACCATCTCAGAGATGTTTTTGTTAAAAAAAAAAAAAGTAGCCATGCTTGCCCATACAAATTCAGTATTAGGTCGCGCTTCATTATAATTTTAAGAAGTGTGCTGAATCATTTACTTTGGAAAGCATGCGGAATTTAAGAACAACATGGAAAATAATGGGTCTCATATCTATCTTTCAGTCTGTCTGGAATAAAAAAAAATAAACAGTCAAGTCTCAAGACTAATGCCCACTTAATTATAAAAGAGACTGGACAGGTCCCAGGCCTAGCAAATATAAAAGGGAAAAAGAACAAGGACATAACATTCAAAAATAAATCAAGGAAGAACTAAAATTAGTGCTAAAGCAAACCATTTGTCAGTGAGGGAGCTGAGCTGGGGGAAGGTGTCCTCACTCAGGCCCCTCTGCGTGCCAGCAAACATCAATGGGAATGCTGCACCAGCTAAACAGACTGAAAGCTCTTCCCAAAAATAAACCCAGACATACAAAAACTGATAAGATCCAAGATGTACAGAGAAACAAAGGAGAGGGAAAAACCCCTCTGCAGCTCAAGTGCAGCGCAACTGAAGCCTGAGTGCATGCTGAGCATCAGCAATGCTGAGCACTGGCATACGTATCCAGCTGTGTTGACAATATGGAATGCCACTTGTTTGATATTTTACTCCAATTGGCTTCAAATCTTTCGAAATAGCTTCACAAATGTCATGGAGAAAAGCAAAGCAGAAGGCAGATGGGTGTCATCACAGTTCTCCACCATAAACAAAAGCTGCATTAATACCATATGAATGTTTCCCCCCCTTCCATCCAAAGGGATAAACAGAGCATGGTTATTTTTGTCCTATCTCAAGAAAGAAAAATCCCACAGAATAAAAAAAAGGAAGGAATCACATTTTTAAGTCCCTTTATAAAGTAATGCCCTTTATAAAATAAAATTTGAGCTTCTGTTATCTCATGCTGTATTATACACCTAACCTGTCTTTTCTTCCCAAAGGGGATGTGAGAAAACTTTAAAAAACACACCAAAAAAATCCCCAACCCCACAAAATGAATGTGTCCACATGCTTTGCTACAAGAAAGGAACTTGTCCACATCCCCACTGGCTTGGGTAGGATGAAAAAAAGATACCAAGAGAGAGCCTGGAGCTGTGTGCCAGGGCTGTGCCAGGCTGCTGCACCTGCAGGGGCACCTTTGCCTCCATCCTGGAGGAACTCCAGCTCTCCCAGTTTGCAAACCCCGCACCAGGGCAAACCAGGGGGAGCACCCAGGCTGAGCGAGGGTGCCCTGGGCGGGCAGGGGGCTCACCTTGGAGGAGACAATCCTGTTGT